CCTTCTCCTGCTTTGTCTTCCTTCCAAAGACAGATGCCAGTTTTGTGTCTGCTATTACCTCTCTCCCTAAAGATAAGCCCCATCAGGCCGGTGCTTCGTTTGGTCACCCCCGTACCCCTGGTGCATAGAAAAATATCTGACATGTGGTAATAATAGTACTTAATGCGTGTGGAGCGTTTACTGGGCGCGTGGCATTTGGTGAGTTCTTTAGATGTACTAAATCCTTTTAGACTTCAAAATGACCCTTGAAAACTCAGGGATTATTTTTGTCCCCATTTGATAGATGAGGAAACTGAGGCACAAAGAGATGAAATAACTTGCTCAAGGAAGTAGCGAAGCTGGGAATCCCAGACAGTCTAGCCCCAGAACCCATGCTCAGAGAGGAAAGAAACTTGTTGAATGAGTCAGTGAGCTTGCCCCAGGTCGCACAGGGGAACTGGGGTGAGGATGTCCCCTCCCTCACGTACACAACAGCAGCAGGACTCGTCGCTCTCCTCTTCGTGGGGTGTGGACTTCCTGGAGGTTGGGGCTGGCTTTCCCCACTACTTGCACCTGGTGGGGAGGCCACAGGTGGGCTCTGCTTAGAACCATCCAAGTGCAAGGTCACAGGCTTCCCTCCAGGCCACCAGCACCTTGTCAGGCTCCGAGCACCTTCACCACGTCTGATGGAGTGGCCAGCAGGGGTCTGCGCACACAGACTAAGTCAGATGGAGCAGAGGCGCCTCCGGGCACAGACAGACAGGGTCCTTCCTGCTGCTGTTTGAGCAGTGGTCCTCCCTGGGTGCCCAGGAGGACAGCCAGACCCCCAAGCCCTGGACCCCTCATCTCCTCCCCTCTTTCTCAATCTAGAAAACCATTCAGTATTCTGAGGCCCAGATCACCTGGCTCTTCCTCTGTTCCTCCCAAGTCTGTTGATTAGAACATGAACGTATGCTCTGACTCAGGGCTTCTTTTTGAAACCCAAGAGGCCAGACTCAGGAAAATGAGAATGGCATTTGAAACTTACTAATCTTGGCCTTGGAATTCAAAGTTCCCAGCATTTGAAATTCAAAAGTCTTTTTAAAATACTATTTTTGATTATTCTAGCAAGGGAGATAAATTTTTTCTTATTTTAAATTGAAGTTGATTTCCAATGTTGTGTTAATTTCTGTTGTACAGCATAGTGATTCAATTATACACACACATATATATATATTCCTTTTCATATTCTTTTTCCTTATAGGCTATTACAAGTATTGAATATAGTTCCCTGTGCTATACAGTAGGACCTTGTTGTTTATCTGTTTTACTTTTTTTTCCTTCTTTTTTAATTGAAGTATAGTCAGTTTACAATGTTATGTCAATTTCTGGTGTACAGCATAATATTTAAGTCATATAATATACATACATATATTCGTTTTCATATTCTTTTTCATTATAGGTTACTACGAGATATTAAATACAGTTCCCTGTGCTATACAGTATAAACTTGTTGTTTGAAACTCAAATGTCTTAACTTCTCAACTTAAAAGTCTTAGCTTTTGATACTGAAGGACACAGGCTGTGGAGTTGGTGTCTCTTGGAAGACTGAAATCGTGGCAGGTCCAGAAACTGATGCCCAATTCCATTTCACTGGCATCAAAAAATATTTCAACTCTTACACTCTCACAGGGAGAATGAATTGTGTTCTGGCCACGTATGGAAGCATTGCTTTGTTAGTCTTATACTTCAAGTTAAGGTCTAAAAAAACTCCAGCTGTGAAAGCAACATAAGCGAATTCTAAACTGTACCTCATCTGTTAAGTTCCCATGCCTGAAGAAGCTAATGTCAGCTCATCATGTGATACTCAATTTGTACAATAAATTATGAACCAGGAAAAAAAAAAAAGTCTTAGCTTTTGAAATTCTTGGCATTTGAAACCAAGAAGTCTAGGCTTTTAAAACTCAACGGTTTGGATTTTCCCCCCGTGTTTCTATTTATCAGTTATCTATTTCTTTTTCTGAAATAATGAATGGCTGGGAGATGAGAGAGCAAAGGACTCGGGGATAGGTAGGCTGTATGTATTTATGTGTGTGTGTGCGTGTTCACATGTATGCGGAAAAACACCAGTAAATACTTGTGGATGAAGGGTTAACCAAGCCCTTTCTCCTTCTCTTAAGAACAAGTATGACCTTGGGTTAACTTACAATCTCTGTTAACCCTAGAATCCGGAGCAAGGTGGAATGTCAGCTGTGTTGCCAGGCAACATTGCTTATGTTAAAAAGACTCCTGATTGGTGAATTGCATCTGGACTGGAAGGACCGTGAATGAATTACAAATGCCCAATGGGGACGCCATCATGTTACACTTCCCTGTGTACAAATAGTCTTATAACTGGGTGAGTCCTTGCAAGCTCCCTGGAAGCTTTGCACGTGGAGCTGTTGTTACAGGAGACCTCGGCTCCTAACGCATGAGTCCTTGAGGTCCACACTTCTTACCTAATGCAGGTTTCAGCTTCTGGACCGAAGTTGTCACCTGGGGACCAAACATTCCTGAGCTCCTGAGCTGCTGTGTGAAGTCCCAGGGATGGGAAAGGCCTGGTGCTGCTCTTGGGCAGGCTGTTTCTTGGACTGTGTCCTGAGTGACAAGTGCATCTTCTGGTCAGGTGTGAATTTCATTGTCTAGTTGAACCCAAAGAAGACCCTCCTGGTGGCCTTCCCCCACTCACTCACATCTCTGCTTCAGCTACAGCTGGGGAGGCAACTTGGAATACATAACTAAGCTGGAGGAAAATTTAAAAGGAGGGGAAGGCAGTGCCCACTCTGTGCTCAGGACTCCACATACTGTACAAGAGTTCATCTCCACTCAGAATAGCCCCTTCAGGTGAGGATAACCATGCCCATTTTACAGATGAGGGGACCGAGGCTCCCAGAGGTACAGAGACCTGCTGAAGGTCGTGCAGAAAGCTGATGTCTGGAAGACATCAAGAACTGGCAAGTACTTGGTTCATACTGGCTTTGTTGGGTATGAGCTAGCAGACCTTGTGGGCTACTCTGAACATCAGTCTCTTGCTCAAAATAAATGGGTAGAATCATATTACTGTCCGGGAATGCTGGAAGGCTTGAGATGGTCCACTTTCAGATATCTGGTGCTACAGGGCGACAGAATTCAAAATCCTCCCCCACGTCTCCTCACTCAGTCTGCTGCCAACCCGCCCCAGGGGCTGTCTGTCTGACAACAGTCCCTGACTGGCTGCACGGCAGATGTCCCTAGTTCTGCAGGGAAGCATTTCTGTGGCACAGACTGTCCCAGGGCACAGCTAGGACAGAAGTTTTGGCTGCGTCTATAGCCAAATCTCATTCAAAATGAGGCACCCGATTGCCAGCATCCCAGAATTGCCTCTGGCAAATGTGAGTAAACATAGCTGTTGGTAAAGCAGCTGGAATGAGGTCATTCATTGAATAGATAATTGATGAGCACCCACTATGTGTGGGGCATAGTGAATACCATTATCTGTGAGTGGACACAGACTTCTTGCCCTTAGAGTTTCAGTCTAGTTAGGGAAATAGACGTTAATCATGTAACCACTCAAATTAATACACAGATTTTAAAAACCAGCAAATGTTAAAGGCAAATTGTAGGATGTTATGAAAACTTGTCACAGGGGGTCTGTTGTAAACTACTGGTGTTAATGCCCACCCAGCCTCTTGCCTTCATTTTCTCAAATTTCCTTTGGGGCCCACTTTTCCCTGCAGGTCCTGGGATGAGTTTAGGGTAGGCACATGACCCTGACCAATCAGAACATTTCACTCCCTGACCACTTCAGTGGTTGGTCAGAGATATGCATGTGACTTAAACTGAGCCAATGAGATTCAACTCTGGGACTTTGGTAGAGACAATTGGGAAAAGGAAGTTCTCTTTCTGCTGGGATTTCTAAATTGGAGGATCAAAAATCTGAGTCTTCAGGGGAGTCCCAGGGGAAAGCCTGCCTAAACCTGGAGTTCTCTAGAGGAAGGCTGAGAGATTTGTCATCAGGCAGCTCCCTGTGATGTCATTTGAGACCTAGATCCAGCTATACCTGAAGCCATTACTCCCTGGGCTCTTCTGTTATCTGAACCAATAGTCACCCTTTTTGGCTTCAGTCAGTTTGTTTTTCCAGCACTTGTGATTGAGAGCTTGGCCTAATACAGAACTGATGGGTCTTGGAAGGCTTCCCTGAGGAGTGACATTCATGCTGAGTGCTGAAGGACATGGAAGAGGGAACTAGGCAGAGACCAAGCCTGAAGTCAGCAGCTTTGGCTTGAAACCTTGAGAATTCAGGAAAGGGGAGGGGCCTTCAGCCTGGCAGAAGGACTAATGAGGGGAGATCATCCTGGGGAAAAGACAAGTCACAAAGCACACTGAGACTTAAATCATTCATATGTCTCATTTCCATCAACGTGGAGATGCTCGCCTCCGTCCACGCCTTGCTGAGCCCTACGTCACGGCGAGCTCCCCTCGCAGGCAGAAAGATGCCCTTCTCTGCACTGGCCTTTCCCACAGGACAAGCCCGCCCTCAAAAGCACTGCTGCTTCTGGCTTTGGGGGCAGAAGGATTATTTTTTTTTTAACGGAGGGGGAAATTAAAACAAAAAGTATTAGTCTGAAAATGAGGTCTAGTTTTAAGTGCAAATAACCATTTCTTAATCTACGCTTTACAACACTGTGTAATTTTGTGTTTCAGACTTTCTTACATTTTAAGTGTTTTTTTTTTCATTATGAAAGTAATATAACCGCATCGTGGGATATGCAGAAGAGGAAGAAAATAATTATAATTCCCTCATTTCAACCCAACCAAAGTTAGTTTGGGGTATTTTTCTTCTTTGTTTGGCTAGTCCTGTGCAGTGTACAGCCCAGTGCTTTTCAAACATTGATGTGCCTGCGGAACACCTGGGCGTTTGTTAAAATGCAGATTTTGACTGCGCAGGGCTGGGGTGGGGCCGGGATTCTGCCTTGCTAGTAAGCTCGCGGGGGATCCTGCTGCCATCCCAGACCACGCACTGAGTCACACAGAGTGGGGGTCACCTGCAGGCTGTGTGCCTCAGGCACCACACTCAGCCTTTTTTGCCTCAGTCCATGAGTCCTGATTCCCAGGAGTCTTCTGTTGACCCCAGATTGGATTAAAGGGCCAGAGAATAGGACGTGCCCAAGGCACCAATGTCTAAGCATCACCAAAATGTCACTGGGAGGATGGTGTGGGTTTGCAAAGCCTCTGAAGTGGGGATGAGGTTCTGGAGAAGCCTGCTCCCATGCGAGGCTCCAGGGAGGGTGGGCCCCGGTATCTTCTAAGGAGGGTGACCCCGTAACTGCAGGGCTCTGTCTTACTGAGGTGGGGGGATGCAAGTCTGGGGCCAGAGTGGAATTGCTCAGGGTGGGCAAAGAAGGTTGAAGCTGCCACCCACATCTTCCCTCCCCTTCTTCATACAACACCTGCCCCTCTGCTACGTGACAGCTGAACACCTATTTCATTAATCTTGGCTACCGAGGTGGGAGATGGTTAGCTTGTCCAGGGCACCTCAGACCTCAGCCTTGAGCAGTGTTCACAGGGTGTGATCCTAGCTGAAATCATAGCATAGTAAGCCCTTAAGATACCTGCTTGTAGGGGTCGGGGAGGCACTTTCTATAAGAGACAGTCGTTAAGTCTCTACAGTTCTGGTGAGGCCTGATCCACCCTCCCTTCTGCTTACCACATACAGGCATCTGCCCTCTGCTCCTGCTGGCCTCCAGAAGAAAAGCCCGCCCTGGTAGCCTGGCATCCAACTGCCCGTGCTCTGGCCCCTTCTAATGCCCCTGCCTCATCTTCTGATGCCCCTGACCACAGCCACCCTGAAGGACTCTCAGGTCTCACATCCATGCCTTTGCCGCGTTACTTCCTCTGCCTCAAATGCACTTCTCCGCTTTGATCATCACAAAACAAACTTCTAAGCATCCCTCAAAACCTAGATCAGAGGTGCCCTTCTTCAGAAGCCTTCGAGACCCTTCATGTAGCAGCTGGCCTCTTGCCCTGTGCCTTCTTTGTGTCCTGTACACTGTTCAACATGAAGCATGACTCTTGATAGCAGGTGGCTTAAGAGAAAAAAAAAGTATTTTTTTCCTTTCAGATCGGTTTATTTAATGGAAACATTCAGGTGGTAGAATGACTTCCAACACAGCTGAGACAAAGGGTTAAACTGAGCCACTGAGACTGCTTCTAGCTGTGGACAGGCTCTGCCTTCCTTCATGGAGACTTCGCTCCCTGGCAGCCCCCAGAACCTTCTCCGAGCTCAGCTCTACACTCCCAGCTTGAAGTTCAGCCCAAGGCTTCCTGCAAAAGTCTCAGGACTGAGTCTCATTGGTCTGGTTTGGGTCACGGGCTGAGCCTGAGCCAATTGCTGTGGCCAGGGGATCGACAGCTCTGATTGGCCCAGCCTGAGTCACATGACACCCCTGGAGCCCAGAGACCAGAGTGGGAAGGGGCAGCTCCTGCAGGGAAGTTGGGGTCCTGGAATCTGAGGCCAGGTGGGGACCCGGCAGCCAAAACCCACAGGTGCCTATCACAGACCCCCTTGGAGCACTTTCCACCCTGTGCAATTACTTGTTCATATGTCTCTCCTCCAGCTGGTCAGGAATAAGCGTCCTTCTCACTTACAATTCCAGAACATCATTCCAGCCTGAGGGAACAGCAGTCTAATAAGTGGCCGTTAAGTTGTACTTTTGAGGCATTTCCTTGCTGTGTGACCTACATAGCAAGTAAATCAGGGCAGAGTCTGACGAAGATTTTTGTGACATGTATGTTAAGGTAACGCCTCCTGACATTAAAAAAAAATCACAAATGGATTGTTTTCTCAGTGCCTGTGTCCACACAGGGTGAGCCCACGTGTCCTTTGTGGAATCCTCACGATGCTTGGGGAAGGGGACTCCGTCCTTGACAGGTGAGAGCACTGAAGCCCAGATGCCGTGAGTAGCTTATCAGGGAGACACAGCCGGCTGGTGGCATGGCTGGGAGTGAATTCCCAGGACTTTCTGACGGTTTGCTGAAGGGGTTCTCAGTTCAGGGGGACAGAGGGAGGGTCTTGCGATTGCCTTTGGGGCTTTTTGAAACTATTCCTCTGTCTTAGTTTGGATTCCCTCGGAGGCAGACCTGGACTGGAGGATTCAAGTGCATGCGTTTTGCCTGTGAGGGGATCCAGGGGGCTCGGCCAAGAGACAGCCTGCATGAGACGCAGAGGGCCAGGCAGCCAGGGAAGAGCGCTTCCGATGTGGACCCTGCTGGGGGCAACTGGAGCGGAATGCCGTGGAGCCGACTGGGGGTCAGGGAGGAACGGAGCTCAGAGCTGCCCTACCTGAGGGGCGAGGGAGCTGGCGTGCTTCCACCCCGACTCTCTGCAGCCATTGGCCAGGGCTGCTCCCAGGGGGCGGTGCCTTGCCAATATGTCCAGCAGCCAGAAGAAGGCCTCGGGCACCGCCAGATGGACCCTCGCAGGACACGTCATGGCGGAGGCTGCTGCCACCCTTCTTCCCCCAAGCTGGGGGCCGCTGTGTAGACTCACAGGCCGAAATATCTGAAATTGGGGTCATCCTAGACCCTTAATCAGAGCGGCTCAGGCGCCTGCCTCATCCCCAGAGCCTGAGGGGCCCGAGGGGGAGGTGGCCGGCACACAGGAGGTGCTCTTGCAATATTATTGAACACTGATTTCTCTTTCTTCCCTAAAGTGCAGGGCAGGAACGCCACTTAGGCAACGTGAGATGGAGCTGATCAAGACCCGGATCTGGTGGGAGAGCAGCCCTCTGGACGGTGCTCGCTGAGAACAGGGGCTCTCCGCACCAGCCCAGCAGCCGGCACGTGGAAAGTAAGTGCTCAGTAAATATCTGCTCATTGGACGAGTGATTGGATCATCTGAGATGCGGTCTTGGACCCCAGACTCAAGGCTAATGTGAGGCCACCCCAGAGTCTCAGAGCAAGGTGCTTGCCTCTGGGGTTGGGGGAGTATTGCTACAGTGTGGATGGCGCCCCCTGGGGTTGTGTGGCCGCCCTGGCTTCATGCCCCCACCTCCTGGGGTCTGGACCCGAGGTGGGGTGTCAACTGAGCACAGTGGTTTGTAGGACCTGTTACAGTCAGGGAGCAGCAATTTGTCCCATCCTCACATTCACATGGGGACTCACACATTCAGACTGTGACATTCCGGGGGGGCGGTCACATTCTATGTGAATTTGAGGCAGTGCTTTGTAAAAATATTAACGAAGTCCCATTTTAAATGCAGCACTGGACATAATTATTACCCCACTCGCACATGCACACTAGCAAGTGGAAGGAAACTAGAAGTGGAAGTCTCTGAGAGGCCCCAGAGACCTGCTTTCCTGTCAGCCCTAGGGAGGTAGTATCACCTTCCCTCACCCTTCCATCCACAGAGACCTCTATGTGTACATCCACAGAGCAAATTTTCCCAGCACCCTCTGGGAAAGGTCTGGTGCTGGGAACCAGAGCTCAGAGTTGGACCAGCCAGGCCTCCCCTGCATCTAGAGGCTGCAGGCATCCAGGGAGGCCTCCTGGAGGAGGTGATGCCTGAGCTGAGTCATTAGGTTGAGAGTGTGGACATGAACATGAAATTATTAACTACCCCCTCTAAATGTTTGCCTGATTGGCTGGACCACGAGCTCTTTGAGGTCAGGAAACACCTTATTTATCTACTTTTCTGCCCTTCTACTTAACACAGGAACTGGCAAGTGAAGTAAGTGTGCAAGGTGCTTAGAGCCACGCCCGACTCATAGTAACGACCATGTAAGTGTTAGCTGCCGTGATGGTGTCGTCATGTGTTACTGTTGCTTTTAGCCAAATCACTGCATATGGAAGAAATGAATGAGTGAATAAGTGAGTGCTGTGGTGAGAAGAGCCTCAGACCAGAGATGAAGGCTTGGATTTGAATCCAGGATTTACCACTGACTAGCTCTGACCCTCAGTTCACCATCTATAAAACGGAGAGAATAAAACCTTCTGGGCCTGGCTGTTATGACGGTGAAATGAAATTGGCAAATACACGCCTAAGGCAACCGACTTACAGCACACGCTCATGCCAGTTCGGTTCACCCTTCTCATCTTATAGCCCCGGGCACTTGGCACAGGGCTAGGCATGTGTATGGCCTCAATAAATATTTATTTATGGTTTGATGAGTAATATTCCTATTGTTTTAATGAGAATGTCTTACTGTCTCAAACAAACCCTTCGTCGAGAATGGGAACTATCTGTGTCTGGCTTCCTCCACCTGGTGTGGTGTTTTAAGGCTCACCGTGTGGTAGCCGTTCCAGCACACACGCCTTTTACAGGTGAATCAGATTGCACTGTGTGGATGGCCCACATCTGTTTATCCATCATCTGTTGATGGACATTTGGGTTGTCTCTGCCTTCTGACTATTGTGAATAGTGCTGCTATGAATAATTTGTGTACAAGTTTTTGTGTGAACATGTTTCCAGTTTCCCAGAGTAGAGACCTAGGAGAGGAATTGCTGGGTCGTATGTTGACTCTGTAATTAACTGTTTCAGGAAATGGCCAGACTGCTGTCCAAAGTAGCTGCACCGTTTTAAATTTCTGACAGCGGTGTCTGAGGGCTCCATCTTCCCTACATCCTCGCCTGTGTCCTTTTATCCTTTAAAAAAGAAAAATCCTAGCCATCCCAGTGGATGAGACGTGGTATCTCATCTCATTGTGGTTTTGATTTACATTTCCCTGAGGATGAATGATGTCGGACGTCTTTACACAGAGTGTTCGTTTTGATCACCACACGACATGGAGGGAAATTCCTAGGCTTGGGCCTTTAGCATCACCAGACTCAAGCTCTGTGACTCCTTGGCTGTGCGTAGGTGCCCTCAGTCTGCCCTTGGACTGAGCCTGCGCTAACTTCTTGGCAGCGTCATATCCCTTGGTTAAGTCGGTGCCTGGTGTGAGTTAAGGTTCTCCTGCCTGCAAATGTTAGCGACCCAGTTCACACTGACTTGAACGCAGAGAGGGAGCTGTAGCCCCACTTACCTAATAAATCCCCGGGCCAGGATAGCTTTCAGGCGTGGCTGGATCTAGGTGCTTGACAAATGTCATTTGGAAGCTTTTGGTTGTGCTTATTCGGAACTCTGCTTTCCTCCAGGTGAGTTTTATTCTGTGACAGGCTCTTGGTGGCAAGATGACTGTGGGCAGTCCCAGCCTCACCTCTTTGCTGTTAGCAACACCAATGACATGAGAACTTCTCTTTCCCAGTAGCTCCAGCGGAGGTCCCAGGCTTGTCTCTCACTGGACTAACTTGGGTTGTGTGTCTGACCTTATACCAGTGACTGAGGCCTGGCAATGGAGTTTGCTGACTGGCTGGGCCTGGGTCACATCTTCATCTTTAGAACTAGGCAGGGAGCCATGTAGACTGACAGTGAGGGAGTGGTGACTCCCCACAGTGAACTGGGGTGCTATCCCCAGAAGGGAGATTGGACACAGGACAGACAGGAACCTCAGATGTCCACTGGACCCCTAGGCCTGGCTACTAGGGGCCTGGTCCTCTTCCTAATGGCTCAGCAAGACACCCACCATCTGGTCTCATCCCACGACAGTGTGATAGACCAGAGGCCGGGAGCGCGTCAGCTAAGGACAGTCAGTGAGCATGAAAAGCTGGTCTCCCTGAGGGTCCAGTGGAAGAATGAACAGAAGCCTTCGTAAGACTCACTCTGGCTTGTGGTCCAAAGTGGGCATGAGAAGTAGACAGCCTTCTGCGTTGACTGCTTCCACCAAGAGAAGCCCCAATCCTTAATGCTGTAAAGCACCGCTCTTGCTAATGAGTCTCCCTGGAGCTTGGGAGAGTGGGGCTTGACCTGGTTCTTTGTT